GGGTCAAAATGGGCGCACATTGCCGTGAGTAAACAATAAACAAGGACATCATCTATGCACTATTGCGTGGTTATAATTACCAGTTACGTGCCTCGCAATGAATAGCCGTAGCTATAAACATATGCCTATTGCCGTATCAGATCATACAAAAGCTAGGTTGAACAGGGGAGTGATAATTATGATGTGCTGTGAGACATAAGCAAATGCGCGCGCGTGTATGTGTATGTGTGTGTGTGTATGTGTGTGTGTGTGTGTGTGATTTGGATTTTTAACGTTGCTTTAACAATTTTTCAGTCACATGGCTACGATGTCTGCAGTGTGGCAGATTACAGTGATGTCTAGCACTGGGTCACATGCCGCAGACATGTAGCACGATGTCCCACCCAGTCACATTATCCTGACGACTAGCCGACCAGTCCTAACTAACCTCTTAATGCTTAGCGTCTATCAAAAAGGCAGCTGCAAGTACAATATTTATTATTCTTTGGAATGAATCGGCTGGGATTCAAACTCGCAACCATTCGAACCGAGGTGGACGCTCTAACAGCAAAAACCTAGCAAGTCCCTTGGCGCAGTGCCGGAATACCTATTATGCACAATAAACACATGCTTAGGGAACTAGTCCAACTGGGGTATCATTTCGCAGACATGAAGCGTCATGTCTCACCCAGTCATACTGTCCTGATACCAGGCCGAATAGTTCTAACACAAAGCTCTTAATGCTGAGCGCCAAGCAGCAGCTGCTAGTACCATTTTTGTCTTAGATATGATTCAGCCGGAGTTCAAGCCCGCGACCTCCCGCATCCGAAAGGGTTGCTCTAACCACTTAGGCCACAGGAGTGTAGTAGCACTGCCAAGCACCATCGTAAAATGACATAGGGAAAAAACCCTCAGGTTCACAAAATGTTTCACCCTAGGCATAATTCAAGCTGCACTTTTGTAGCGGATGAAGAACGACAATTTACGTACAAGAAATTGTAAAAACGGCATTAATTTAGTTGAAGAGCAATGTTTTAAAATTGGGCTTTCGTTTTAAGACATTCAAAGTAATAAAAGACTAGTGTTTGAATTCAAATGGGCAAACAAGATGGGAGCAATGCGAGAGTACTGAATATATAGTAAGAACCAAAAGAATGAAAAATAACCCCGATAATATTTTGCTTCGCTCACTAGTAAATACAAATATAATTCGTTTCCACAATTTACAATTCCCCTTAAATAAATATATTCACTGATCTATTGCATCCACTACCATTGTGCTTTTTAAAATAGTCATAGTTCCTTAAATGATGATAAATTGCCGCCTGCTCAAATTTGACCTGAAAAAACTACGTCAGAAGTAAAAACGTCAGTGTGGTGTAAATGTCAGAGCGTGAGAAAACCGATCGATAAGTCCGTGGTTCTAAAAGGTGAAGAGGTGACAAGAATGGTTACGTTGTGAAGTACATCATAGCTAAAAGCTGTTTCGATATAACATGATTTCCACGTGTTTTCAACGTCAAAAAACCCAAAACAGTGATGTAATTAACTTATAAATTATAATTTAACTGATGACACGATTTTGACCTTCGTCTTAGTCACACTGTAATAATAATAATAATAATAATAATAATAATAATAATAATAATAATAATAATAATAATAATAATCGCAATAACTAACAAGGATCACACATTTGGTCCTGAAAAATCCAACTGCCACGTGGTAATTAAGTGATATAACAGGTTTTATTTTAAATAATGAAATCAGTTAATACACACACTCAAATATGTTCGCTCACGTATTCATAGTTAAAATTAAATAATACACTTACACATATAATTAAAATGAATTAATACGCGTACTCCTAGAGATAAATGAATTAATACATGTAACTATAGTGGTCAACAGGTACTTATATGAACAATATGCTATAGTATACACAGGTATTCACATTTTTAGTCTGTCAGAAGCGGGGTGGGTGGGGTGCATATATCAGTAACTGATATAGAATCCACCGTATATACAAGCGTTGTTTAAATGTTAACTTAATGAAGTAAACAAACTCACCTCTGTTCGGAAAATAATCTACACATGAATGGGTCTCCTAACTGACAGATCCTTATCCAACCACAGCATCTTTACGTATCATATATAGAATGTAAATCAGACACGAAAATAAATTTGATGACGTCTTCTGTACAGTCTCAAACACTAAAAATATCAGGTCACAAATGCATTGTAGTAAATGTGGGACATTTTGCATCCGGTAATCCTATTTCACTTGAAAGTCGCAACACTGTAACGTTTGTAAACAAACAATTTAGGGTACCTATATTCCACTGTCGGCCTGCTGTACTGACTGTGTACCGTGAAACAATGTGGCAGCATCATATCGCATTTATAATTCTGTTTTGAAAAATGATTTTGTAGTTAGAAAATGTTCTGTTTATTCGGATGGAAGTTTTTTCTTTGATTTATAGTTTCTAAAACAGTACAATTTAATTTTACCAGTTCCGCC